GTGTGATTGAGATTAATGTTAGCTTGATGGCTTTTGCCTTTGAACTTCCATGTTTATTCATTATATTTGTATCTTCTTCATTATTTTTCTTCATTTTCTTTTCTTATTGAGATGTGTCTTCATTTGTGATTGAATTGGATGATGTTTACTTGTGCTTGCTTATATGATCCTTTAGGATTCCTAGTCCCATTTAATTTCTGATTAAAGTGGGAGTGGGAGAGACATTCGGCTTTCAATCCTTTGCATGATAACAATTAGGATTTCAATCCACTTAAAGAAGGAATAGGAAAATATCAATAAAACCTTTTAAAGGATAAGAAAATGGTCATCGCAACCAAATTCTAGGTTTGAGAGTCGATTACGCAAGAGGGAAGGTATTAGCACCCTCTATGTTCATTGTACTCAACGGGAACCTCTTGATTCGATTCGGGAGAAAAGTTAGCTAGGTTGGTTTGTTTTCTTCTAAAGATTCGATTCTAAGGGGGAAATGGATGGTTTTTATTAGAGTGCTCACCAAGGATTTGGGCCCTTATGCCTACATACTCCCTCGTGCAATGGGAATGTCAGAGCATCATAGTTCATGGGACTACGGTTAGAATTTTGAGGTAAAAAAAAGAAAAAGGTAACTCGCTAGGATCTCGCAATCCTATGCCTATGTATCCTCATGGTGCAATGAGGAAGTCAGAACAATCGTATTTCGGAAGACTACGGTTTGTTGGTGTCTTTTATAAACGAGTGTTTAGGTCACATTATAACTGCTAAACATTGGCTTGTCTGCTCACTAGGGAAGGCTGAAGCACTAGTTTATATGCGCGGAAGAAGGGAATAAACAGTGTTCTTTGCAAAAGTGTTTGAGTTGTAGATCGCACGGGGGCGATGACTTAATGTTTTAGGGTTTGAATTCAGAAAAAAAATTGATTTGTTTGTGTTTTAGGGTTTCGATTGCACGAAAGCGAGAGAATTAAGTTAATTAGTTAAGTATTTTATGGGAGAACGACAATTATTTGATAAATGAGACGTTGGCCTCGCAACCAATTAATCGGGACATTAATGGGATGCTAAATCCCAACGACACCTTTTTCATTCGTTTAATTATAAAATAGTGTTCGATGGATAATAAAATTCATTGTCCAAGTGGTTAGGGCAATTATTTTAGAAACGAAAGATCGAATGACCCATAACTCAAGGCGTGCGCCCCAAGAGCGATCACTCAAGAATATAAGAAATCCGAGATCCAAGAATTCAGTTCTTTCGTGATTTAGTTTGAAATTTTTTTTATTCAATTAGGATATTTTTGATTAGGCATGTTAGGTATTTTAAACGGATTGAGTGTTTTAGAAATGAAGGATGAAACAAACACAACCCAAGGCGTGTAACATTTGTTCAAGGATCCAAGGAGTGCTAGACTCCAAGAACCAACTACTTCCAAAATTAATTAAGAAAAGGTTTAGAAGTATTAGTCAAAATGGATTATGATTTTAATTAAGAAAAGATAGTCATCTTTTAAAGGTTAAGAAATTTGATCGATTTAAGTGGAGGTTAATTGTTTTTTAGAAACGAAGGACGAAACTTTCACAACTCAAGGCGTGCGCCCCAAGAGCGATTGTTTAAGGATCCAAGAAGTGCTAGACCTCAAGAATCCACTACCTTCGTAATTGATTAAGAAAAATTTTTGATTAATCGTGTTCGAGAAATATTTAATCGAGTTTTATAATATTATTTTGCAATGGTCCAAGGTTTTGTTAAAAATACTTTGAATTGCCTTGTGAAACCAAATTAACTAGTTAAGGCTTGTTAACAAATGTTTACTTTGATTGGATGTTTTTTAGTTAACTTAAGTGAATAATAACATTTTTTTGTGAAAATGAAAGACAAAACAATAACAATCTAAGACATGTGCCTCAAGAGCAATCGTTTCAAAGATCTAAGGAGTGCTAGACCCCATGAACCCACTATTTTTATTATTTCATTAAGAAAGGGTTATGTTTGAAAGAATATTTGAATTGGGATATGAAGAGAGAGATAAAAAAACTCAGTATTGGACCAAAATTTTATTCATTTGAAAATCAAACTTAACATTAATTTAAATATCCATTTATCCTTCTATGTAAACCAATGAATCAAAATAGGTATAAGTAACAAATATAGTTACATGAATACTAAAGACAATGTAGTTTTAATAAAGGAATTAAAATAATTTAGCCAAACAATATTTAAATTAATTATTTAAATTCATTTATAACTTGTAAGTGCTCTTGATAGGCTACATTTTGTGGCAAAACTTTATAATGTGCATGTATGTCATACTGATTGTTAGGACATACTTAATGATGTGTGTGCAGGGTAAGTTAACTACAAGTTAACTGAGTTAAGCTGAATGTCATAACACTGTTCGTATGACATCCAGCGGGCAAGGTAGTTTTTCTGGTATTCAGAATGAGGATTCTCAGGCTAAAAATCAGGAAACCTTGTAGGAGCTCAAGCTAGGATTCAGGAAACATTTTAGAAGCCCTAAGCGAACTAAAATGTCCCTGAATGAATTGGCAAGTGGGCAGACAATTAAAGGAGAGGTTTTGTGATGAAAAACCTAGATTGTGCGCCCAGGCCCAAGGACTGATCTGCTGCTATAAATAACAGGAGAAGCAATCCTAGAAGGCAGCTGTTCAAGATAGAGAAACAGAGAAATCACCATAGTGGTTTAGAAGTGAAGAGGTTGTTCTTCACGATGGTGTCTTAGGAACACTTGTAATCCAAGCAACTGTTGATTGCATTGGTTAGATAGTTTCTAGGCTGTGTGTCACTCGAAGCTGTTAATCAAGAGTGTGTGTTCCTTGATCAAAGCTTTGAAGCAAGATCAAGGTGTGTGTAGTTGAAGTGGTTCTTCATACTACTGTTTAATTTGTAAGTGTAATTGGATATCACTGAGGTGATTGTAGGGAGTGAGTGGGTATACTCAGGTTTAGAGTGTCTCTAGGTTAAATTGTCATTGGGTAGGTTTTAAGTGAGGAGTGCAAACTAGAGGTTTGACTCTGAATTAAGTGTGTTGCACTGAACTGGGTCAACAACCAACTGTGCTATTTACTGCTTTATAATTACTGCATAATAGTTGATCTGTAGTGAATGTCACAGTGGATGTTATAACTTTATGAATAACATTCATCGTGTGATGGCCAGAATTTTCATAACTAATTAGTTAACTACTTAAAAAAAACTATCTTTACTAAATAAAACTCGTTAATCTAGTTTGTATGTAAACTTATTGCTAAATTAAACTAATCATGAGAGGTAATAAATAAGAGATAATAGAAATTAAATAAATTGTTAAAAGAAAAGAAAATAAAATAAAAATAAGTGTGTAGATTCATCCTTGAAAAACAGTAAACCGTTTGAAGAAACTTTGTCGAAGAGTCACCAAGCAACCAGGTTGAAAATTAATCACAATGCAAAAATATGAATTAAAATGTGGCCTTGGAATACCTTGAACACATTTAGAAAGCCCAAATTCAAACAAATCAAGCGTTTAATCCATGTACATCCTAAGTCCAACCAACCTTAACATTGCACCAAGTCCTTCTTGTGTAGTAAAACGAAACAGTAATGCTTTTAGAAACTTCTTAAGATTGGTTCTCTAAGAAATGTGACTCCCCAAGGAATGTAACTCTTAAATTAAGATGGATGCAAGTGGAAATATAGTCACAGTAGCACTTCAACATCATAAGCACAAAGAACATCTACTAAACCACAATGGATTCATAGATAGCAGACGCAAGTTAATCGCAATAGCGTCATATCAGCATGGTTTATAATGTAAAAATCAGTACATTGCATAACAGAAATTAAAAGAAAACCAAAATGTTAGAGTAGATTTATTGTTATGCCAATACATCCAGGTAAATTATTGTCATACCCTAAATTTGTCCCACCTGCACATATATTTATTTGTGCATCCAGTCCCTAACCGTTTATCAGAAAATCAAAATGCATTGTTTTGGCTTTTATTTTGAGATGTCAAGGCAAGTGTGTATGGGTAGGGATGTGTGAGGTTCAATGATTAGGCATGAGTATGTTCCACAGTCCAGGTGATATGTGGGAATTTTCAATTAAGGGTTTGCAACAATCCAAATGGTTGGTGTACGGATCAGGTTGTTAGGATGTACCAAGTTAATCATTGTCTGTTGATCACTAAGAATTAATTCATTTCCAATCAGGACTTTGAGATCAGGCGGCTCTTATCAGGATTATGTTTTATTAATTTCAAGACATTTTCTTATTCAAAAAGATGCAAGGTGAATATGTTGATTCATCAGTATTCAAAATGGCCAGACTCGAGGTTGTTCCGTTGTTCATTTGTGATTCAAGACCCTTCTCCACTCAAAAGATTAAGCTAAACATTCATTCTTACTTCCGTCTCTGGAAAAGCATGATGTTGCTTAGTTTTAACCAAGAGTTTTGAGAGTTAATTGTCATTTGCAATCTCATGATTAAATGTTTCGAATGCATTTCAAGTGTGTGAAAAATAGAGGTGCAAATTCAAGCCTGTTAGCATTTTTCATTAAAAAAAAACCCACCATTTGTTCATAAGGCCTATTGTTTTTCTCCACTTTTACACATTATCACCAAATTATGAATAATATCACAAAGAAAATGGAAAGCAAAAATTGATGAAGAAAAGCAAGCCAATGTTTTTTTTTCTCAAACTACAGACGGAGCCCGTATCATATAAGTTTACAACTATCACATGATTAAACCAAGCCCATATCACAATTTACAAAAGAATATAACAGGAGAATGGGCATGGTTACCATTCGATGGGCTCATCAGCAAGGCCAGATACAACAACAAAATTTTCGAAAAAAGAGATACAAAACTGAAAAGTGCAGCAACGTTGTTCCTCATATGACCCCTCAACACGCGCCTCCTGCATCAAAACCACAACCCCCACACACCACTTCGTACAACCCCATCTTCCTCCTCTTCCTCTAAATTTTGGTGGATCTCCTATGGTGCAGTTTTCGTCGCCACATACAGAATCAACAAATCTACAGATGTCTCCTTCTCCTACTGAAACATTGCCAGCACCCTATAGAAATCCAGTTTGGAATAGACCTAGAGGCCCTCCTCAGTATAACTTTCCATTCCGTCCATCAGGTGGTGGTACTTATCCGAGTCCTAGGTTTGAACCTCCGGGCGGTCCATCGTACAACAATGCACCAGGCATGAATCAATGGCCCAACCATAATTCAAATCCTTCTTCAGGATATAGTCCAAATCATTCTGAAGGATATAGTCCAAGTCCTTCTTCAGGATATAGTCCAAATCATTCTCCAGCATTCAGGAACAGTCCTAACACTAGTCAAGGCCGAGGCAGAGGCTTCTGGCATAGTACCAGAGGCCCTGTTTCAGGACGAGGTGGTAGACAAGGATCAGGTTCTCATGGTCGCTGGTCCAATAAAGACAGAAGTTGTGGTCCAGAACGATATTACAAGAGGTCCATGATGGAAGATCCATGGAAGTGTTTGAAACCTATTATATGGTGTTCAACATATCATTTTTCAAATATTTCATTTACACCTGAGAATTCAAAACCCCAGGCTCCTTCAGAATCAACAAGTACAAAAAGGGAGGGACCATCTGCTGTTTTTAGCAAATCCAATTCTGGACCAAGTCTCGCTGAGTATTTGGCTTCTGCATTCAATGAAGCTGCCAACACTGAAGAATAATGTATGATGACGACTGCATTAAATGCATTGGACTCATCAATGTTGTGTAGTAGCAGTTGTTGCACTTTATACACCAAACACCCAGGAGGAGGTTTTAGGAATGTGTTCAGGTTACTAACATGAATGATTTGTGCCAGATACAAGCTCCATGCACAACCTCTGTAGAAACTGTTAAAACTGTGGTTGATTAAAGTTTAAATTTAAATGCTTTGGAATAAGCTGGCACACTGAACTTGAGAGACAGAAAGCATTTAATGACCTCGATGTTCAGAATGATGGTACTGAAAAAAAGAAAATTCAATTATTAAATTGTCAAAACAGCCCATGGATCATCTTTATGTTCAGGCCTCAAAACAATGGTTCAAAGGTGAAAATATTCCAAAGGAAACAACAGAATTTTGCAGCACAACAAACTATTATGCCACAAAACTCGCACATGAATTCATGACAAACCGTTACGCACCAGCAGTAGCATCACGCAATAACTCGCACACCAGCTTACAACCACGATACACCCGCGGCCGTCGACGATTTAGCAATTGACCTACAACATACATAAGAGGAAAAAGGAGGGACAAGTTCAGAAGATGATTCACTAAATTGGCTAAACATAAAGCAATTTCACAAGCGCGACACCCACCTCATGCTCACGACACACCAACTTTCGCTAAATTCACAAAATCGCAATTGCCCTGCAAAACTTATGATGGATAGTGGACCACTCGCCGCAAGCTTGTTTCGTACAGCAAGTACTGCAAACATATAACAGATTTCAGAAAAATAAAAAAGGCAAGGCAACGCAGTGACACTCGCGGACGGTTGGTAAAAAACAAACAGAATCACAGCAACATCAAGGATTCGTAAAATATGACAGACACAGTGCATCACAACAAAACCAATACGTATAACATGTAGTACTTACATCAGTTGCTAAGATGATCATGTTGCAATAAACCAGACGGTTACGCGAATCTCGCACTGAAAATCTTCATCCGTACTCATAACAAAAACTCAGTGTAGCACAAAACCTCACCTCCAAACACGATTATTAATTCTGCTAACTTTCAGTCTTCAAATCCTGCATCTCCATTGAATTCTGTCCACACTATTGGCTCCCCTGCACAGTCATCGTTTGAGCCGTTATCTGGTGCAGCTCTATCTCCTGCAAAATCAGCTGATATTTCCTCTAGTGGATTACAGTTTAAACCAAGAGGCAACCCGTCTGTTAGAAATAATGATATCAGTAACAGTAGTCTTCGCCAGCTATGTTGCAAAATCATTTTAACTGGTCTGGAGTTCAGTTTAAAACCTGTGACATATGCCGAAATCTTCAACCATATGTTGAATTGGCTGGATGGGACCAGACGACAACCTACTGCAACACCAGCTGCCAACCATTCTGCTATCAATAGCCCACAAAGCTCCAGTTCTGGGACTCCACAAAGCTGTATGCATCAATGTTGGTGGCCTTTAATTTGTGTGGACCAAGGGCAATAGAAGAATGTAGTGCTCTGCGCAAACCATACGATGCGAAAACAAGCAACATACACCCTGCAAAAAGACAAAACCAATTCTAAGCAGTGAATTAACACACAAAACCTATGTATTGAATTACAAACAAAAACCTGCAAAACAATAAAGTTTCTGATTTGTACAAAAGCTAAACACACCTCACACAAAACCTGCACATTCAGCTCTACTACCAAGCCACTCGCAATTGCAACACCATAATACCAAAACAAAATGCACAACAATTTTGCACCAGACAATACAACCACAAATTTGCAAAATTGTACTACCTGCAAGCAACCCAACAGTTCACAAGCAGTCAACATAAGACAAGAAAAAACACAGTCATCACAGTGAAATAATGAATTGGTTGTGGAAAACTTACAAATTTGCCAACTCATGATAAAGACAAATTGGTACCTCTGGTCCCCACAAAGTCCCTCAAATCTTTTCTAACGGTTTTGATATTCATCCCATAACCCAACTTGGTTTTCCTGTGAAATTCCCTGAAAATCTCACACATGTGGGAGAAGAATATTCTTCAGCATTTTTTCCTTAAACACGTACCAAGTCACTCTCAAATGTTCCTATAAATAAGAGGATAAAGTTTGAGAACTGGGGGAAAAAAAACCTAGCCGCCACCTTCTTAGCGTGGAAACCCTTTCACTCTTCATCAGCTACAAATCCCAAACATTATACCTTCATACAACTGCCTCTGGTTTCTTCTTAAAATACCAACCGTAAATCACATCCTAATGTGAACCCTGATCTCAAAATCCCTATCTCAAAACCCCTTCTCCAAACCCAACCAAAAAATGAAACAGGGAGAAAAATAAAGAGTTTTCTAAAAGCTAAATCTGTTTCTGAAAAATCATAAAAAAAAACCGCTTACCTTTCTTCCTCACCCTCAAATTTCCTCTTCGCCAACTACAATCACCCTTCATCCTCATCCGCGTTAACCTTCCACTTTTCCATTCTCTTCACTCACCCTCTGCTACCACACAAATCCTTTGCCATGCTTTAGAGCCACCACAACTGCATTCACTCCGCCACTGTTAAACCCCATATATCCAACAAGCACCTCCAATCCACCCTTCAAGCGTAGCCTCGACCACATCTAAACAGCCATTAATCCACCCATTTTATCCTCTCTCCAATCAACTACAAAAACGTTTATGTTTAACAACCATCATTACTCCTATTAATCCTCAATCTTCACAAACCCTCGAATCAATTTTAAATTAAAAAAGAAAGTGAGATTGAGATGAGATAATAGAGAGAACTGAGCAAAGATCCAAATGAAGGCGTGTTAACAGAAGGTCGAAAGAGGCGTGGTGTTGTGACGAAATCGATTCGAGAAGAAAGCTGGGAGTGATTGTTATGCTTCAAGATTGATGTGAGGGATTCGTGTGTGTTTGAAAGAAGAGAAAAGGTTGAGATTTGTTTGGCTGTTGTTTTTTTCTTTTATTTTGAAAAAATATATTTTTTTGTTTCCATGGTCTAGTGAGGTGGGTTGAGCCCGCATGACTCTCGTTGCACACTCCCAAGTAGATTAGAATACCTCTCTCTCTTTATTTCGTTGCTATTTATTTATTTTTTTCTTTTTTTCTTTTTCTTTTAATCATCTTTTCATAATTAGTGGTCAATATTAGTTTAGAAATATTTTCTATTTTAACTTTAATTATTAGATTAATGAGTTTATTTGCTTTTGTTCAATTATTTTTAATGGATCACTTAGAAGACTAGCCCATTTTGCTAAGTGCACACTTTTAAAATTTAAGTTCAAACTTCGACTCGTTTCGAGTATTTTTTTCAAAGAAAACTAAATCTTTGAAGTCTAGCACTTGGATTTTTGGACGAATATTATTGAGGTGTACACCTTAAATAATACGTCGTTCTATCTTTTCGTTTAGTACGTTATTTTGGACAAAGAAATATCATAGGAATCTAGCATTCTGTGTGATATTTCTGTTGTTCATCCAAACATTTTCTGAATGAAAAAGTGTCGTCAAGATTTAGCATTTCGATAATACCTCAATTAATTAGTTGTGAGGCCTGCGTCTCATTTACCAAATAATTGTCATTTCTCCTATACTTTTCAAATTCAAATTCATATCCTTACCTCATATATTCACGAATTATTTTCATACCCCATTTCGTTTCAAATTATTTTTCAAACATCTTTTTCGATTAAAACTCCAAAAGAAGGGGATTCTTGAAATCTAGCATTTCTTGGATCTTCGAATGAGCAACTCTCAAGACTCGCTCTTGAGTTGTTGTTCATTCAATCTTTTGATTTTCTCAAACGCATATTCTCAACATTCTTTTTCGATTAAAACTCCGAAAGAAGGAGATTCTTGGAATCTAGCATTCCTTGAATTTTCGAGTGAATAGTTCTCGAGGCACGCCCTTTGAGTTGTTGTTCGCTCAACCTTTCGACTCTTTCAAATTCAATCATTTTCAAACATTCTCCTAAGTCGAATGCTCGTCCGCATTCGCAACCAATTTCATTCACAACTCCTCGTGGTTTCGATATTAGGGGCACCCTCAGGGACTAATATCGTTTCTCACAACCTTAACACTTGACACGTCGTCAAGTCGGTTCAATCTTCGATCAAATCGTCGACACGTCGTCGAGTCATCTTCAAAACAACTTCCTTTTGGCCTTGCATGCCATCTTTCGATTCGATCTTTTCACATACGTTTGTTTTAAAACTTACGAAAGAGGGATATTCTCAGAATCTAGCATTCTTTGAATATTCAAATGAGTAACTCTCGAGGCGCGCCCTTGAGTTGTTATTAACTCATTCTTTCGATTTCAAAACATCCAACTCTTCATCTTCAACCTATTCAGTCAATTCCCGAAAGAATTGAGTTCTTGGAGTCTCGCATTCCTTGAATTCTTGAGTGACAAGCTCTTGAGACGCGCTCTTGGGTTGCTTGTCAGTCACCCTTTCGTCTCAAACTCAAACTTCAACCCTTTTCAAACCTCATCTTTTCGTGGTTGTTACCACGAACTACGAACGCTCTGATTCTTTATTCATTCTCGAATATAAGATACGTAGGCACAAGATTGCAATGATCTTGGCGAGCACATTTCCCATTTTCTCCCCTATTCCACACTTCTATCTTCCTCCATTATTTCGTCCACACATTCCCAACCTTTCCTGTAGTCGAACTACGACGCTCTGATTTCTCATTCTCGTCCGAATGAGCATACGTAGGCACAAGGGCCCCAATCCTTGGCGAGCACCCTATCCTCTAACCACCCATCTCTCCTTAGCGTCTTTAACCTTTTACCCTACCAATTCTACCTTTAACAACGAGAAGAAAAACAAGTAAACCTAAACAACACTCCCCACAATTACCTTAAGAGGTTCCCGTCGAGTACGACGGACGTGAGGGGTGCTAATACCTTCCCCTCACGTAACCGACTCCCGAACCCGGAACTTGGTTGCGACGGCCCTGTTCCTATCCTTTTCGTTTAAGAG